TTTTTTTTGTTTTATCGCACATTAGTTGTGGGGGTTCAATAACGATACCCGCAATTCCTAACTCACTTCCGTCTTTACTCCAGTCAGTGTGTAGATGAACGCAATGAAACCATTAAACCTTATCTCAATTCATTTCCTTGAAATTAGTAAACTTAAAGTCATGTTTTTGTGTCTTATGCCTTCCTTCGGTTCCTTTTGATTAACGTCATTAGCGAAAAACGGACATGCCTCAGGGATAAGACAAATGTGATTTCCATTGCAACACCAGTCAAACCTGATCCAAATTCAATCCCGACAACCTCCCTAAGTGAAGCAAGGAGGATTTTTCTGCGGAGGAAACAACAAGAGGCCAAAAGAATTTCAAAATCCTTGACTTGGCAACCGCAGCGGGCGCAGATCGCGCGGATGAAAAGATTGACCCCGGCACTAACAGAATCCTTCTTCTATTCTGAGGAGACTAATAAAGTGGAGACTGTATTGGGTCGAACGAACAAAGTGCCCGGCATCCGGAAAGGCATTCGAAAGGAAAGCATCCCCGCAAATGAGGAATTCGTAAGTGAAGTAAAAGTTGCAGACGGCGTGGAAATATAAAAAGTCAGTGCTACGTAAACACTCTTTGCAACCACACCCACTCCATTTAAAGCTAATTGGGCGAACAACTCAGCAACAGCAACACAGTTGTAATTGAAAGAATTTACACAAAGGGAAACTTTTAATATGGAAATTATTGTGAATCGGAAGAAACCGGCTTTACTTTACTTGAAAGCTGTTTTGACATAGAAGCCTTTAGGACATCCTCGGGAAACGTTTGCAACTTTTTGAAGTCAAAAACAAGCAAGGTAGGCCTATAGCCAAACATCAAAATTGAGTCCATCGAATTTTATCCGCCTGAACGCCTAATGGATACTCTGGTCAGTTACCCCATTAGCACATGCCCCCTCCTAACAGCCGGGGCTAACTAGGATAGGCGGGGCCAAAGACCATTTCAAGGGATCGTTCGTCTTTAATTTGATCTCAACTACGTCATCATACTGCAGGCTTTTACGGTACGTCTAGCATGCGTACCGCCTTTGCATTGATAATTCCACAGAAATATTCGTAAGAGTCAACTCTTTCCCGTTATTTGTTTTGTGAGGACTGAGTCAGTTGTTGAAATGGCTGACGTTGTTCCGTTGTTTCGTCCCTATTCAACCTAATCCATATAACAAGGTTAACAATTGGGAATTTGACGGACGGTCCATGGGGCCTTATGCAATGAATGTATTCACACCAGAGAAAACCAATTGTAATATAATAAAGCAGTCGTGTTAAAAATACAAGCGAAGGACAGCTGAGACTGGGGTAGGGCTCCGTCCATCTCAGGAAGTTCGAGCTTTTAGCACGGAGAAGTGTGTTAATTGGGTATTTTCCAGGCCAATATAAATAGTTAATCCGCCAGAAGCTGGAAACAGTGGATTCGTTCATGACTGCTAGGATGAAAGTATGAAATTTATACTAAAGTGTGAGTGCGCTTAAAGAATCAGATAAAGGGCCACTCCTGCTGCTTTCCTGCGTACAAACACGCAGATGTAGACTTTTATTTTTATCCGAATCAACTGATATTTGTAAGGCATGGAAGCTTTTTGTAAACTAGATTACTGGAATCGGCCGTGAAAAACTCTATTAGATGACTAAGCTATCATTATCCTCTGTATTTTAACATGAAACCACGTTCTTTTGCACGTTACTGTCGCAAGCTTCGTGCGAGCACTCTGCAACAATAACGCATTGAAAAATCGCAAGTGGGAACATTACTCAGTTGAAAGTTGGAATTGAACAAGAAACCATGCACGACCAATAGAGAATAATTTTGGAATGGATATACAGGGATGTCTGCTAGTTGAAGAGCCCATCAAATGTTTGTACTTTGCGTAGGCAGTCAAGGGCCTCTTGATTAGCCGATTACCGGGTGCCATAAACATACCTAGTGGCTTGTGTCAAGTGGCATCGCCAATAAGCCCAGGTGCAGGAGTACATGTGTGATTATATTACCTGCATCAAGTGAGTAGCCATTTATGTTTACTTTTAACGACTAACCAGCGTCTGCTAGTTTTTATTTGCAATTATGCAAACGACCCCTTTTTAAATGTTCTGTTGTACCAATGCATTTCTTAGCTGCTGTTTTACGAATACGAAGCCCAAAGGCGTTTGCCTTATCGTCCTTAATCAAGCTGA